AGCAGGAGTGTAGGTTTAATCAACCCTATCTGTTGTGACTCTGGTAATCAAGGCATTAGGTTTTATTTAAGTGAGGTTTACCCTTTACACTTAAAGTATTGATGAGACTATAATTATGGGCTGGTTAATCTTTTCTCTCCTGCTGGGGACATTTGTCTGCTATTGACTCTTTACTTACAACAAAAAGAATCTTAAGGGAGAAGTGGCAAATGAATAATTAGGATATCCCTGGAGGAGTTACCCCATCTTTTCAGGTATCAGAGGGTTAAGTAGGATAAATGTGAGAGATGAGCGCTGTCCTGCTCCAGGGCTATTGAATGCAGGGGACTTCCCTGGGAATGAATGTGATGTAATTGAATACTGGACTCACTGAAATATGAATCCACTTGTTTTCCCAGTGGGTTTGGGTCAGGGTCCCTGTTCTGTTTCTTAAGTGGATGCTTAATAATCCTGATACATCAACAAGGACCATTACTAACATTTATTGAGTGCCAAGCACTTTGCTAAACTTGATACATTCTCTCTTTTAATCCTCGCAACAACCCAAGAGGTAGGTGCTTTGATTATTATTCCCATTTTGCAGATGGGAAAGTAGAAGCTCAGAGAGATGAAAAATATGCCCAAGGTAGGGCCCAATATTGCATGGTGGGGCTAGGGTTCAAACCCAGGCCTTCCTGGCACAGAGTGTCAAACCACTGTGCTATTAGTCTGATTTTGATTCAAGAACTCTGTTGTTCACCAGGCCAACTCCTGGCATCAAATCTGGCCCTGGCATTAATACATGGCTTCAGGAAACACAGCTGCTTGGAGGAGGCAACAGCTGTTCATTCATTTACCACTTCACCAAGCCACGTGAATTAAACCATCATAAGGTAAGGCTCACTTGGTCTCAAACACCAGGCTAGGTAATTATTGTTTTAATTAAAGAAAAGAAATATACCCCCACCCCCAATACACACACACTTCCTGCTCAAAATACTTGACTATTGATTCCTATAGAAAGTAAGGGAATGATTTGGGGCAAGACTTTTTTTTTTAATGTTATTGATGATAATTCTACGTACATCACCATGCGTGTCTGAAAGTAGGAGAGACAAATCAGGATGCTTACCATTCATTCATTCTTTCCTTCCTTCCTTCCTTCCTTCCTTCCTTCCTTCCTTCCTCTCCTCTCTCTCTTCTCTCTTCTCTCCTCTCTCTCTCTCTCTGCCCCTCCCTCCCTTCCTTTTTTCCTTCTTTCCTTTTACAAATATTTACTGAGCACTGGCTATGTGCTAAGCCCAGTTTTAAGCACTGGAAATACCATAGGAAATTTTCATGGACTAGAAAAATCTGTCTTATTTCTTTACAAGAGAGGTTGCACATCCTTGCAATTGGTAGGGAAAGTATTCTCTGAATAAATGTATCAACTGGGTTTCATGGACTAGTTCTTAAAATAATTCCCTAAAACTCCTCCTCCCTTGAACATCTCCAACAGGACACAAAGAAGGAGGGAGGGGAACATGTGAACAGTCCTAGAACTCAGCCCTTCTCAAGAACCCAGAAAAATGTCCACGCACATGCCTGGCAGTCAAAGTGGCCACAGCCTGCTGAGTATCTACTTCTAGCTTCCCTTTTAGGGCATTCTCCCTGTCTCTCTCCCTGTCTCACTCCCTGTGTAGCAGGGCTGCCATGACAGAGTGGGAAGGTTTAAACATCAGAAAGTTATTTTCTCACAGTTCTGTAGGTCAGAAGTCCAAGATCAGGGCGTTGGCAGGGTTAGTGTCGTCTGAGGCCTCCCTCCTTGGCTTGCAGACAGCCGCCTCTCCACACGCTTGGTGTCTCTCCCTCTTCTTACAAGGACATCAGTCATATTATATTGGGGCCCCATTCTGATGATCTCATTTTATTTTAATTATCTCTTTAAAGAACTTATCTCCAAATACAGTCACATTCTGAGGTCCTGGAGCTTAGGACTTCCACATAAGAATTTTGGGGGGACATGGCCTCCCTCTACATAACAGCCTCCCTCCCTCTTCCCAAGTCCCCAGTAGCGACATAATGCTAAGAGAACACAAACTCTGGGGCCAGACAGCTGTATGATCTTGGACAAATTATTTAAAATGCTCTGCCTCAGTTTGCTCATCCAGAAAATAGGATGAAAAATTGTACCTGTCCTATCACATATGGTTGTTAAATGAGTTAAGATGTTTAAGGCACTTAGAACAGGGCCTGGCACAGAGTAAACAACATATAGATATTTATTAAACTATACATTAAAATCAAAAATTCATTTTTACTGAAGTTTAAGGAGAGTGTTATTTCGCTCTGCCAAAGAATTTGCTTTTTCTGGACAATTCTCAACATCAGTGATGGGATCGCCCAGAGGCGATTACAGAGGAACCCTATAGATTGGAGGGTGTGGGCTCTCCAACATTCTGCAAAGCATACTGTTTAGTGAGTCACGATCTACTTTAAAATAGTAACAGTAGCCAACATTTATTAAATGCCAACAGTGTGCTGGGCTTACTGGTGTGATCTTATTAAATGCTGTGAGATAGGTACTATTATTTTCCCCACTTAACGGTTGAGGAAACAGTCTCCAAAAAGCCTCAAGGCAAGGCCAGTTTCCCCAGTTAGTGAATGGCCGAATAGGGCCGAACAGCTCTAAGGTGAGCAAATCAGGGACTGACTGTCACGTGCAGAGAGTTGGGGGGAGAGAAAGAAGTCTTCTCTTCTCCTCCACTTTTCCATCACCCCCTCTTCTTCTCCCTCTGCTGAATGACACGTCCCCATGGCCAGGGCTGCACTCTCTCTGCTACAGAAAACATCCAAGCTGCTGGGACCCGACCCAGCGCCACCTCACGAGCCCAGCATTTCGAGGGGCAGGCTTCCAAACAGGGTAATAATCGTCCCATTAAAATTAATGTCCATGAAGTGAGCCGTTAAAAGCGTGCAGATTAAAAAGGGGGGGAGGGAATTGTTCAATTTAAATCCAAAGGGCTTTTTAAATAGACACTGTATCTTCATTCCTGGAACGCTCAACCGGGCAGTGGATCAGGTCCCCTCTGCAAAGACTAGAGGGGATTAAGGAGGTGAGTCCCAGGAGAATGGGGAAGTGGTTCTGGCCAGAAGCAAAGGGAACCAAGGTTTATCCAGGGCCCACTGCATGCCAGGTGCTTGGCACACATTTCTCTCATTTAATCTCTGCCCCAATCCTGGGAGGAACGTATTATTATTCCCAGATTACAGGGGGCAGTATAAAACCATGGTTAAGAGCTTAGAGCCTGGGGCAGACTGCCCTAGTTTAGATCCAAGTTTATTCTTCACTAACTCTGTGATCTTGGGCAAGAGGCCTCACCCCCCTGTGACTCAGTTTCCTCATCTGTAAAATAGGATAGTAATAGTACACTCTCACCACCCTAGAATTGTTAGGAAACTCACTTTAGGCTGTGTAGACAGGGGCCTTAGCCCAGTAACCTACACAGAAGGCACTCAGTGAGTGTTGACCATTACTAAGGGTAGGAGAATTGGGGCTGGGCAGATCTAAGAGATACCAAGATCACATTGCAGAGCTAGGATTTGATCCCTGACCATGCTCCAGGCCAAGGGGAACTCGTTCCATGATAAACCCAGACCCAAACTAAGTTCACAATCTTGAAGAATCTTTTCTAAGTGACTGAAGGATTTATCAGGCCTTGGAAACACTCTGCCAGTGAGAAGTGGCAGATAAGAGCTGTCTTATCAGGATTTAGAAGACCAGCTTGGAGCCACCTCGAGGTTCCCTCGTTTTCTGAATGCCAATGGATTTAAGATGGGTGAAGGTCTCTGTCTCCCCCAGTGAATCCTGAGAGCCCCGTCGCGCATCTGTACCTCCACCAGCAGGGACAACTCCAGATTTTCTAGTCTGGAAGGGCACAGGGGCAGCTCTCAGACTGGAAAAAAGGAGGTTCAAGTCTCCCATGCCGTCCATCTCCTACCCCACAGACCCCTCAGAGTCTCCATTGCGCATTAAATCACTGCTAGAAACTAACCCAGGCGGGAAAGTAATATTCACAAAGGAAGCAGACAAAAATAAATTTTCTTCTGGAAAACCCCTTGGGAAGATCTTTGGGGAGAGGGGCAGGTAGGCGCGGTGCGCCGCGAAGGGCCGATGCTAAGAGTCGACCTCCTAACCCTCCACCCGCCTCCATCAAGGCTTCTAGCGGTGCTGGGGGCGCTTTAGTGTCTGGTGGCGTAACTCAGACAGGGGTGGGGGCGTGTGTCGTCTGTGCTCAAATTCGCAGCCTACAGGTGCCGAGTCAGATCTGAAAGTACGCAAGTTGGGTTGAATCTGGCCCTCTCAAGAGATTTTGAATCGACCCATCTCTCCCAAACGAAACAATAGCTTCGGAATATTTTTGAATGAGGCAGCCGAATTCGGTAACAGCTTCACTCAAAACGGCAAACAAGACTGCTCCCCTCGCCAAATCGGAACTGGAACTGAATTCGGGAAAATAGGAAGGAGAAAACCTTGCTTGGCGCTCCACGCCTCCTCGGGGGTCTCCCGCGACCCCCAGTCCCGGACACCCGCGGCCGGTGCCTGCAGGCGTCCC